GCCATCACATAATTTATTTTTAGAAGACTATTTCCATAACCTTGTAAAAATCTCAGAATAAATTATTTTAAATTATATTTACTTCACTCATCGGTATCTGGGGCTCTGGGGGAGCTGTTTTTTGAGGTAAAGGCACTAAATTTGCAGCATAGCTGCTGGTGCCTCTCCTCAACACCCCCCCCCCAAGTTTCAAAAAGACTGGATGCGGAGGCCCAATTCTATGGGCCCCAGAAGGAGGTGCCCCCATCCTCCATTGTTTCCAATGGAGGGGGAAATGCCTTGAGGGCTGAAGCAGTAATCCCTGCACTGCCTGTTAAAAAGTTTGTGCACCAGCGCCCCCTAGTGCAGTTTAGAGGGAACTATGGCCTCATCCCATTCTCACTCTTTGGAAGGTGTGACCGAATAAAGCTTAATGTGGGTACAGAGACCAGGTTTCATGTTAAAACAACCAATAAAAATGCCCATGTGATCTGTAAAAAGATCACACCAAACACAAATATTAAAAAGGTGATAAAACCACATATCATCTTTACCTAAACTCTGTACATATGTTAAAAATATTAAATTGATATGGGCTATTTATTCTTGGAGTTTTAAGTAGTCAGGTGTATTTCATTATATCAGTTCCTCTGTATGTGTTTATACCCCATTGTGATCCCCAGACTATGTGCTGAGTCCAGGTGTAAACAAGAATGGCTTATTTCTTAACTGCTTGAGACAATACGGCCAAGACAGAGAGAGGTTCTTCTTGGTGTCCACACTGCCCCACACTGGAGGGGCAACTGACCACAGCCCCAGCCTCCCAGTGGATTCTCTAAGATTGCCCATGTCATTCAATTTATTCCTCTCTAGCAGGAAGAGATACATTTATCTTGGAATTTCCTCCTCTCACTGTTCCCTAGGTATGACCTTATTGTCCTTTATCCTTCTTCTGGGTAGGGGTATTTACATAGGTAAGGTGCTAAATTAGTCTGTTCCTATGAGTTGACTGGTTCCCCTGTAATTTTCCCTTTGCTAGGTGTGGGAAAATTTTAACCTTCCAGGACAGTCAGTTGCTGACCTAAGAGTAGCAGTTTTCTTACAAAGGATTTCCAAAGGGAAATTAGAAAGAGTGACTGCTGAATTGCAACTGATAATGAAGCTCAAGACAATGCATCCACCTGGTCTTAATTGAGACCTAGGTTTCCTATCTTATTACCAATGCTGATTTCTCCACATCACTATCCCTCTGCATATCTCACCTAATACAATTGTGCCTGCCATTGTCATTCACCTGCTATTGTTATTTGCATGCTAATGTCATTCCACATCTGAAATCACTCCACTTTCCAATATAGAGGACAGATGAACTCACATTCTAGCTGTATCTGAAGAAATTAGCAGTGACTCAGAAAATCTCATACCCTGCTACAAATGTTGTTCGTCTTTAAGGTGCTACTGGACCCTTACTCTTTTACTACTGCTACAGAAAGACTGCTATCCATCATGATAATTATTGACAGAGTTTGGGATGATGCAAGAGGAGAGCCCCAAGACTGTGCTTTGCCCTGGGTCATTGCCTTATGGCCTTACTAGCTACTTCTTGTATCTTCCTCTTCTTTTGGGAATCTCTCATCCAAACTCTGTGGCTTTTTGGCTTCTTTAGTCCCTCCTCCTTATTCTTTGTTTTCCTGTTTGGGGCAGTTCTCATTCTTCACTGTAACTTTCCTGTCCTGTTTCCTTCTCCAGAGTCTCAAACACTGTGCTTGCATACAAACTAGGGAAAGGCATGGTACAAAATGTTTTAAATAAACATTTTATTTACTAAAAGTACTGTATCTTTCATCTAAACATTGAGGTTTGGGAGATGTAGCCTGGCAGAAATGTAAGTGGGGTGCGTCCCTAAATACAACAGATGCAAAATTGTACGAGACTTTTGCTATCTGTTGTTAAGAATAACAGGGAAGAACTAGGGTAGCAGATTCCTCTTCTGATGACAGCCCAATGTTTTCCCAAATGTCTAGTTCATTCCTCAAAGGAACTGTGCAAATAGCATCCTTCAGCTTTATTTTTTCCCTTTTATATTTACAAAGCTATACAGACCTTTATCTGCCAGCCATGACTGTTGCCAAAGTTCCTAGCCATAACTCATCTTTAGGGTAGTGTGTTTGTTTATTATTTGAAAATGTCTTATAATTAGGGAAGCGTTTATTGCCCAATCAAGTTATGTTTAATGAGTCATCTGGAAAAGACAATATCCTCAAGTTTCCCTTGAGAACAGAAACACACTGGGCAGAAGGAAGCATGCTACATATAAAAACTCATTTTCTGAGAGCAGCTCGAATTATACAATGAAGGGACCATACAAAATTTTTTGTCACCTATATACTAAAGACAAAAGATCTTCCAGCCTACAGGAAAACAGCTGCTTAGGCTTCTATCCATCGTTAAAATCACTCAGATAGGTAAACATTTAATAAGGTAAGCCAGAGGACTCTCCCATTCTGATTAATAAATGTTGTTGGCAATTGTGTATGAACCAAAACTGACCTAGCGGGGCAAATTCAGGAGAGTAATGGGTATGGTCCAGGTCATGTACTAAGTCTGCCAGAAAGGTGATGTTTGCTTCCAACAGGTTCATCCAAAGTCTAGCATGAATAGAAAATCTAGTTCGGAGTATAACGCCACTTCACATAATCTATCTCTCTAATCTCTTCAGAAGGGGGTTGTAAAGATCACAGTGTTACTATCTCCATATTACAAATTGCAAATTGAGGTGTGAAAGAAACTAAGGAAGTTTGTCGCTTGGGTAAGATTCAAGCAGGGTATTACCCAGTTTTCTGTTTAGTTATGCTATTAGCTACTCAACTCTCCGAGCTCAAAACATATTCTAGAATCCTGTGAAATATTCAGGAATCCTGGGTTCATTTATCATTTATCAGTATATAAGGCACTCCCCAAAAGTTGGAAAACAGTGATTATTATAAACTTGGGGATGACATCCTGGTGACTATAAATAATGTTTCAGACATTTTTAAAAGATAAAAATAGACCAGTCAAATTATTATCTACCCTCCCTTGTACTTTCTCAGGGTGGCATACAGTTCTCCCTTCTCTATTTGAACCTCACAACAACCCAGTGAAAGTTAGAGAGAGAGAGAGAGGCCCAAGATCATCCTCTGAACATGAAAGTTAGAGAGAGAGAGAGAGAGAGGCCAGAGATCATCCTCTGAACATTGTGACTCAATAGAGATTGGAACCTAGGTTTCCCATCTCCTACCTACCCTTTCATTCTAATTGCTAAACCATACTGGCTTAAGAGTCACAATACACTAACAAAAAAGAGATCTGGAGAAACAACATAGCTAATATGGAAGGGGTTGTGAAGAAAAGATTAATAAATAATTGCTTTGCCTAACTATACTCCACAAGATTAATACTTGCACCAAAAACATAAACTCTAGTGGCACAATTCTTGCAAGCCCATCTCTGCATATCCCCTCCAAGAAACTCAGGTGGAAGGCAACAAGGAGCTGGGTTGTGGGGGGATTCATCTCTCCCCCACCACCAAGTCAGCCTGCTGTTTATTTTCTTTAGGCTGAGATTTTTTAAAAAAAATCCCAAGTTTTTAGTTGAGTTTATTATATTCTACCTGGCTGTTTGGCCACTTGGATATCTTATACTTTTAATCTATTTTCTATATTGTTTTGGATTGTTTTCTTTGATTGGTTCTTTACTGTCTTATAATTTTATGCTGAGAATCTTGATGTTTTACTGACTTTTCACTTCTGATCCCCCCCCCTCCCAGTCGGGTGGTTATGATTTTGTTGATGCTGATATGGGGTTGATTTTTCACTGGTGATTGTTTAGGGATTGTAATTTAGGTTGCACTGATTTTGTACAGTTTTACATTGGTTTCCTTATATCTTGATATGTCTCTGATAGTAACATTTTGGAGCAATAGAATAGAAAAATATTAAATATATAACATATAATTAGTTGCACAAAATCCTGACCAAACATCTCTTTACCATTTTTTATATTGTGTAGGCACTTGTGATTTATCAGATTTCAACCCTGTTTATTTGATAACATTTTTAAATGGACATGGGCTTTAATTTGTATTGTAAATCTTGCTTGACAAGTAAATAGCATCAAAATATACAATGCAAAGCATATAGGAAGCCTGATTAAAAGTTAACCTGTTAGAATTAAACATTTAGTTCAGTTTCAAAGCTCTATTATTCAGAACTGTCAGTCCTGCTGAGCACACTGCAGGCATGCTTAAGAAGAGGCAAACCAAACTGTGCAAGCTAGATATGTTTCTGATGCAACATCAGAAAAGAAAGTATGTTATCTATGTTATGTGCCATTATGTTGGTTGCAACTTATGGTGACTCTTTGAACTGATGACCTCCAAAATGTTCTACCATTAACAGCCTTATTCAGGTCTTGCAAACAGATTGCCATGGCTTCCTTTATTGGGCCAATCCATCTCATTATGCCCATCAAAATATCTACATTAGTGGTGGTGGTGGGGAATGTAATAGCCTTCATCATTGTGGTACTAAGACACTTCCTGGTGGGTATCAGATGGTGACCAGAAAAATCTAATACTCTCACAGGCAAGGCATAGAGAAAAGACATGAGTGTCAACAAAATAATTTTAGGATACTGATTGCTCAGAATCACCTATGAAGTTCAGCACACAAGTGTCAATTCATAATATTCATGGGAACAATCCAAGTAGTGGATACAAGTTTGGCAGTGATAAGGAAGACAGACTATAATAAATCACCAGTGGTTACAATTACTAGTAATTTACATGTCTAAAATATTTACTCCTAAAGCAGAAGTATTTGCTCCTGAACCCATAGTTCAGCTGTCTACTATGGGATGAGGATGATGAAGAAGACAACAGCGATGAGTATGTGGGTTACATATGTAGGGATCATGAAACTAATACCATTTCATTTTCTTTTGAAGAATAAGACATGGCCAGTGCAGGATGGGGAAATCAAACGGTTGCTGCTGAATTAAATCTCCTGGGATTTGGGGATGCCCATCACCTGCAGATTCCTCTCTTCTTCCTCTTTCTGCTGATCTACATCTGCACTATGGCCGGGAACATCCTCATTGTTGCCTTAGTGATTTCCGAACCACAGCTTCATACCCCCATGTATTTCTTCTTAGGTAACCTCTCCTGCTTGGATAGTTTCACAGTTTGCACCATCCTGCCGAAGATGCTTGCTGGCTGCTTGACCGGGCATGGCACCATTTCTGTTTGGGGTTGTATTGCCCAGTTTTACTTTTTTTCCTCTTTAGCTGCTGTAGAATGTTATCTCTTAGCAATGATGTCTTATGATCGGTATTTAGCCATTTGCAAACCTCTGCATTATGTCTGTCTTATGAACACCAAGCTGTGCTTCCGTTTGGCAGCTGGCTCTTGGATCAATGGATTCATAGGGATGTCCATATACATATTCCTGATGTCCCAGCTAATATTCTGCGGGCCTAAGGACATTGACCATTTCTTCTGTGATATAACTGCAGTAATGAAGCTTTCTTGTGGGGAAACTAACACTGCAGAACTTGTGATCACAGTATTTGCATCCATATTCACCTTTCCACCATTTACATTAACCATGACCTCATACATATTCATCATCAGGAACATCATGCGGATCCCATCCGCCACTGGGAAGAAAAAAGCTTTCTCAACTTGTTCTTCTCACCTTATTGTAGTTTCCATTTTCTATGGGACGTTAGTGATTGTTTATGTGCTTCCAAGGACTGAGAGGCTCAGAGCATTAAACAAAGTTTTCTCTGTCTTTTACACACTTCTGACTCCCTTGGTAAATCCTTTGATATATAGCCTGCGAAACCGAGAGATGAAGAATGCCCTGAGAAAAATTCTGAAGAAATGTGTCTAGTCCATTGCACTCCAGGGAATTTACTTTTTGAACAGATGTCATCCATGATAGTTAATGTTTAATATTTATCACTAAGCACAAACTTCCTTAGAATAGGTTGGAGACATAGACTTGTTTTTGTGAAGAGGAAGATTTCCTTTGAAGGATGGTGACTCTTTGAGGAAAAGAATGCTTGGATCCATTATAGAATCATAGAATCATAGAGTTGGAAGGGGCCATATGGGCCTTCTTGTCCAACCCCCTGCTCAATGCAGGATTAGCCTACAGTATCCATGACATTTATGCAGATGCTGCTTAAAGACTGCCAGAGAGGGGGAGCTCATTACCTCCCTAGGAAGCTGATTGCTTTGTTGCAGAACTCTTACTGTAAAAAAAGTTTTCCCTAACACCCAGCCAGTACCTTCCCGCTTTTAATTTAAACCTGTTATTGTGAGTCCTATCCTCTGCTGCCAACAGGAACAGCTCCCTTCCCTTCTCTAAGTGACAGCCCTTCGAATACTTAAAGAGAGCAATCATGTCCCCTATCCACCCCCTCTTCTCCGGACTGAACATTCCCAAGCTCCTCATCCTTTTCTCATAGGGCTTGGTCTCCAGGCCCCCAATCATCCTTGTCACTCTTCTCTACATGTGTTCCATTCTGTCCACATCCTTTTTGAAGTAAAGGCTCCAGAACTGCACACAATACTCCAGGTAAAGTCTGACCAATCCAATGTACAGTGGGACTATGACATCTTGTGATTTGGATGTTATGCCTATTATTATCCCATTACATCATGAAGGATATGGACAATAGCCACAAGGACAACTAAAGTTCTGACTTCTTTGTTATTGACTATAGCCTGGAACTTCCAAGACAGGGAGAATTAGATACAGTATCCAGTCAGCTGATAAAGGCTTACATCCTATGGATTTGTATTTCTAACAGTGCCTTCTTCCTATGGTTCAAGGTGTCTCCTGCTGATGCAAGAGGCTTTTCTGCAGCAGAAACACCTATTTTGTCAGGAGAAGTAAGGAAAGATATTACCATGAGCGGATCACATCCATAGGATCCATCCCAAAGTCTAAAGCAGCTTCCACAGCAATAGAAAGTCTCAGATTTCATCTTTGATTTTGAAAGTTCTCTTAACAAGGTAACCTCTTTGGAAAAGGACAGAATGGAACCACTTGCACTGCAGAAAGGAGATGGACAGGATGCTTAAAATTAAGCAGATTTTTCTGTCGTGCAACTAAAACATGAATGTCAATTCATTTTAATTATCTGTCATGTGAAATCATATATTAAAGCTCTATGTTTCAAACTAAAACATTGCCACATAATAATAAACTGCTTTGCATACAATTATTCACATATTTGAATACCATATGTCCTCTCAGGAGCTCAGGGTATCATAACTGAAGGTATCCCTTTTATTTTCACATCTCTGGAAGGTAGATTATTATGCATTTCTTTTTATTTAAAATGCACTTGGCGCAAAGTAATCCATAGAATTTCCAGGCGGAATGAAAATTGGAACTCAAGTATCCTTCCAGCATTCTTTCAACTTCAGTACATACAGAATCACTATTACATGCAAATTTTAGATAAGGAGGGTTTGCTAGTTGAAGGAAGATGGACCCATCCCCTATTCAAGAAAAGCTGATATTTTGACAAATAAAGGCTTGCTTTGTAAGGATGAGTTATTATGTATGGACTCAAATATTTCCTAGCATGAGTTTAGCATACATGAAGCTACCATAGACCATTGGTCCATTAAGGTCTGTATTGTCTACAGGGACTTTCTTATCAATTCAGGGTGCTGGTGCTGACCTTAAAGGCCTCTATAGTTTGGGGATTAGCATACCATAAGGACTGCTGTGACAGATGGCTTCAGTTTTGCCTCTCCCCAAGAACAGCCAATGGAAGCTAAAGGAATGTTGAGAGTAGAGAGACAGATCCTTTCTGCATTTGCCTGCCCCTCCAGATTTTCTCTGTGTTTGAGTCGAGGCAATTTAAGTCCATGGCAAAACAGCATCCAAATGACCTGGGGCAATGACAGTTTGAAACTGGGCTGACCACTGAAGGGAGGTAATGCAATGCAGAATGGGGAAAAACCCATAATAAAAAGAAGGTAGAATTCAATTTTAGTGCAGAATTGTTTGGAGGACACCATGGGGAACATGGATTAAAAGGAGAGTATAAAAAGGAACCACTGAGGGAGTGAAAGCCAATTGGACAGCAGTTGTGTTGCAGCTAATAATTCTGAATTTGAGGGAGGCAGAAGAGTAGCCTGCTACTGATGGTGAAGTGACCTTGTAATAAAGAGTCCTACAAACATGAAATTAATTAAAGTTCAAAAGTGTGAGAACTGAGAAAAGTTGTGTGTGTGTGTGTATGAATCACTCCCCTGTTGTGTTAAACTTTCAATAAACATTTAACTCCTTTTGGTTGTTTAACCCTGCTTATTGGATGTACATTGTTTCAGAGGAGGAAACACACATACACACACCAGTAAAGCCTTGGTCACTATGCATATATCTGTGACTAAACGGTGGCAGTGTGACAAGGGAAAACAGTGTTTAGTTCACAACCCCAACAGCTCTGTGAAGTGTCTGGGTGATGGGTGGTTGACATAGGGAATTAGGTTTCCCTGTCTGTTTATGACGGGGGGGGGGGGGGAGGAGAGAGGACATCCTGTGTATGTAAAAGGGTTAGGGCTCTCAGCCTATTAAGATGGGTCGCAAACTGTGACTGCAGGAACTACATGTATCCCTATGTAAAAGGGGTTTTGTTGGGAGGTAGTGTGTCTGCGGCTTACGGGAAGGAAGTGGTGAATGTCTGAGTAAGTGATTGCTGCTGGGTGGTGCCCCACCTTCTCTGTCATGCCACAAAATTATGGATCCCCTCCTAGCACTGTCTTCTGCAAGCAGCTTGAGATTTTTGTTTGATTGTTTCATGTGATATTACCTCAGTGACCACTCCTTCCTGTTCCATGTTTTAAGCGCTGTCTACATTTTAGATAAGAATTATAATATTGAGGTTAATTGGGTGTATGATCTTTTCTTCATAATGCTGTTTTTGTTAGTTTAATTGGTGGCCTTGAGCAGAAAGGCACAGGTATGAATGCTGTAAATAAATATACTAGATAACTTGTTGTTGTTGTTCAGTCGCACAGTCGAGTCCGACTCTTCGCGAACCCATGGACCAGCTCCCGCCAGGCCCTCCTGTCTTCCGCCGTCCTCTGAAGATGGCCCAATTTCATATACTAGATACTGCAAGACTTTAAATGTGAAGATTTCAAGGCATATTAAATTGGTATTCCCTTAAGGGAAATTTCAATTCCCAACCAAATTATGGATTAAGAATCAGCTGGAAGAAAGAAGACACTCTTGAGAACAGGAAATACCCTTAGCAAAAAAAAAGCCATGGTACATATAAAAGTTCATCTTCTGAGAAGCCTAAACTGCACACTGGTCATTGGGAGTAGAACCAGATGATATACTTTGCAATCTATATCTTAAAGACAGAAGTGTTTCCAATGTGTGAGAAACCAGTTATTCCCTTTAGCTGCTTCAGCCTCCATCTGCCCAGAAACCCAAGAACTGTAAATGCTTCACTGAATAAGGTAAACTCAAGATATACCTTCTGATGAAGATTTTTGCCTGCCAAAGTGTTAAGAACCTGTGCTGGCCTAAGGTGGCACTTGCAGGAAATTTCTGCATATGCAAGTCTCTGTTCACATGACGTGATGGTGAAGCTCAATGGGTCCAAACAGTGCTTGCCATGAATTGAGTGTGCACCCTAGAACTGAAAAACGGTTAAGCCATGCATACCATCTCTGTAATCTTGTTAACAATTGGGGTAGCCAAACCCTTGGTGGGGCTTAAAGTTGCCTGGAATGACAACTGATCTCCAGACTATAGAGATCAGCAACCACAAGGGAAATGGCAGCTTTGGAGGGTGGACTGTATGACACCACTTCCCTGCTGAGCTCCCTCACTTCCCCAACCTTGCCTTCTCTGAGCTCGGCCTCTACATCTCCAGAAATTTCCAAGCATGGAGTTGGCAACCCTAATTAACAGCCTTGTCAGATCTATCATTATTTTTGTATTGTAAATTGGCTTTCAGAGAAAAAATTCTGTGCTTTAGGCTAGCTAGGAAGTTCCCAGCTGAGTTGATATTCAAGTTGGGGATCTCCTAATATATTTCTTCCTCTCAGGCAGTGCAGTCCTATGCAGAGTTACTCCAGTCTAAGCTATTCAGCATCAGCTGTCTTAGACAGGAGTAACTCGGCATAGGGTTGCAATGTTAGCTAGCCACTCAACTGTCCAGCTGTACACATGCCCCTGAATTGTCTAGAATGTGCACAGATTCTGGGATCTTTGATGCATTCATCACCATGGAATAGATTCCTTGAAAGCTGGAAGCTTGGATGCGTTGGTTTCTATGAATTTAGGAATGAAGAACAGCAAATAGTCAGGCGACTTAAGCATCTTTCAGTAATCACAGTTGAATAGGCAATGTACTACAAAAGGAAAAGCAGGGAATGGAGTTTTGTAGAAATTGCTTAGCAAAATTATCCCAATGTTGCTTTGCTCAACAATGCTCAAAATTATTAATACAAAATAAGTGCTAGACTAAACATGCAGAGTTTGAAAGAGCTGTCGTTCTCTTCCGCATCGTCATTGTTGTCATTTTTTCAGGGTTTTCCCCTCCAGTGTGTTTTGCTCTCTCTAGTTGTCCCAGAGGGAGGAAAAAACCTTTTGGGAAAGTAGGGGGGGGAACAAAGCAATAGGGACAAATGAGTGACAAAAATGACAATGCGGAAGAGCCCTCTGGGTGCTCAGAATACCCTACTTTGAGTAGCAAAAACACA